GTCACTTGGGCACGCCAGAAACCCATGATTGTGGGTTCGAATCCCGGTTCGCCCTAATTATGTTTCTAGGTTTGTCAGCACCATACCCGTGCTCGTGGGTTTCACCGAAGTGGTAAACGTCTTAGACCTGCATCACTTCGGGCTTTCCTCCCACATTAAGCTGACACGCCGTGATATAACTGGAATAACGTTAAAAGCGGCGTTAAACCCAACTCACTCACTCACATTAATGTTATATCAAACATATTCAAAATATAAACGGTATTTCACAATGGGCAGATCCTTGCACCAAATATTACTAATACTTCGTGATTATACTGCGTACCTTTTAACAGTCAAATGTTCGGAACGCCACTGGATCACTATACTGCACAGAGATATGGATAAATGATAAACTGCTTAGCACTTTTTAATACTACATGTATGTGGTTATAGCTTTTGTTCAGTTTCTTTGTTGTTTAACGCCATGTATAGCTACCTGCAAATAATGGACCAGTGATTGATATTATGAGCAACGAAACGACGTGGGTATTTTGTTCAGTGCATTGCACGATATAAGTAACATAATATATTGACGACTTATATTTTAGTGCAAAGATTGACAAAAAAAAACCGTTAAATGCTCGTCACTGGTGATTATACATAGTATAGTTGAATACTGTGTGTCCTCTACCAGGCCGCGTGACTCAAATAGACGGCGCGTCAAACTGAAACTGGAAGAATAGAATGAGTTTGGTTACATTATTTCAATTATACCACGCTGATATGTTTGTACTTTCTGACGTTAACCACTAAGATTTCTGTTGAAACCCACAAGCACGGGTACGGTGCGGACAAACCTACAAATATATCAAAGCAAATCTGGGATTCGTACCCTTAATCATGAAAAGGTTTACGACTGACCATATTTCCCAGTTGAATTTATCTTTTTGTTTGATTGATTGGATTGGTTCGAGATTGCAGACGAAGGGACAATCAACCAATTTCTGCCTTACATTCTTACTATACCAATTACATGATAGTTGTGATGAAACAGAAATTCAAATTGACCAACAAGAAAAATAATGTAGCAAGGGTAAGAGTATTCAGCGTCACGACAGTCAATACTTGTTTGTAAACATAACGGTCAGTTGGTTGCGAGTTCAACTCCAAGCATGGTTGAGACCATCTGTCACAGTGGGTATCTTTCACTGTTGGCAGCGATAGCATAGAGAGCTCCGCGAACGGGATATCGTTGTGAGGAGCTTGAGGTTTCTGGCATGAATTGCGGCGCCTTTGACGACATTGCCACCCGTGACCCGTTAAATTATAGGTCGAGTCTCTTATAGTGCCCGAGTTAAACTGTTTGAGCGCCAGAAACCGATTATCTTGGGTTAGAAAACCGATTATGTTTCTAGGTTTGTCAGCACCATCCCCGTGATCATGACTTTCACCGACGTGGTAAACGTCTGACACCTGCATCACATCGGCATTTTATCCCACATTAAGCTGACACGCCGTCATATGACTGGACTATTGCTAAAAGCGGCGTAAAACCATACTCACTCACTCACTCAAAACCAACCCACATTATATTGGGGGCAGACATCACATCATATGTATTTCTTAAGTCGTTTCTTCTGCAAGACGTTATGAATCAATCTGTCATCATCACTTCTTGACGTGTCGGGGCTTTTGTCTCGTTTCTTCACCAGATGAAATGCGCTTGAGTAGATAACATTGTTACACACCACGATAGGATAAGTGCATGTAAACAGTTACAGATAAGCCCAGTCGAAATGTATAGGGTTACAATGACACTGTTTGTATCCAAAATGCTGCTGCTAATACTGATATTGATATAATATGGTTCAGGGACGAAACGAAAATAATATGGTTCAGGGACGAAACGAAAATAATATGGTTCAGGGACGAAAAGAAAATAATATGGTTCAAGGACTGTGTTTGTTCCGCACTCAGCAATAGTCCAGCTGTAAGATATGACGGCGGTCTGTAAATAATCGAGTCTGGACCAGACAATCCAGTGATTGACATGATCATTGATCCAGGCATTTGGGATACAATGTCATGCATCAACCAAATCAGCTACTACTACTACTACTACTACTGCTACTACTACTATTACACTAACCATACCGCCCAGTCAAGCATACATGGAGTACACGCGAACTAAGATGTCAGCGATAAATCAAGAAACTAGATATAGACGTATTTATTAACAATTCCAAGAATACTTGTAACAATGACGCAATCCCGCGACCAAAATTGTAAACAGCGTAGTATAAGTCACGTCCTCGGTGACATTCCTCAACCACGTGGTGGTCTCCAGCCGGATGTTTCTGTCAAACAAGCCGCCAATCAAAATAACCATATTACATGACGTTAGGCCTAACTATATTATACCCTCTGTGATTGGCCACAAAAGAGTTCAAGGCCACATGTGCATCCCATATTTGGGGAATGACGTCATTGCGTGTAAACTATGGATCGGTTTCATCACAGTTAAAAACATGATTAGTCATACCGGCCGGAGTCGTGTTGAGAAGAGTTCAGCGTTCCTTTTCGTTTGTGTAAATCATGAAACGTCCCCAATGTACTTTTGAACCGGAGAGCAAGTAGGAGCGGTCGGCAAATACCCTTGACATGAATTCTTTCTATTTTCCCCATAGTTGTATTCCTAGCGAGTGCTACCATTCTGACGCATACTAAATTGTAAAACATGGCGTGTTCCTAGCCCGGCAGTTGATAAACACACCTATTTTGATTACTTCGCTACTTGGATCTCCATAATCTGACCCGATTGTAACCTATCGAGCCCTGTAAATTCTTTAATCGTCTGGTTCGGATTGATTATTTCCAGTGTTTGTGTCAATGCACCGGCTCACTCACATCCCCCGTCCACACCCATTCCCGTAGTTCTTCTTTTGCACCGGCTGAACCCCACCGATATGTTTGTTTACAGAGAGAATGTTTCTTTATGGCCAGTCACAACCAAATTGAAACGGCTGGGTAGCCTAGTGGTTTAAGCGTTCGCTCGTCACGCCGATGATCCGGGTTCGATTCCCTACAATTGAACGATGTGCGAAGCCCATTTCTGGTGTCCCTACTGGACATCTGGTCTCATATTGATGGAGTATTGCTGAAAGCCGCGTAAAACGCACTCACTCGGCTGATTTCTCTACATATTAGTAGGGGGCACGGGTGGCCCAGTCGTCTAAGGCGCCACGATTCGCTGTGCAGATTGCGTTCCTTGGGCACGCCAGAAACCCATGATTGTGGGTTCGAATCCCGGTTCGCCCCGATTATGTGTTTAGGTATGTCAGCACCATACCCGTGTACGTTGGTTTCACCAAAGTGGTAAACGTCTTAGACCTGCATCACTTCGGGCTTTCCTCCAACATTAAGCTGACACGCCGTGATATAACTGGAATAATGTTAAAAGCGGCGTTAAACCCAACTCACTCACTCACTCACTCACTCACTCACTCACATATTAGTATTCTTTTAGCTAGTATACTTTTAGACTATCTTCCTATTACTGAAATATGTCCGCTTGAAATGACGATTGTACAGAAAGTTAGACTTAAATAAACAGTCTCTGTTTAGACACACAACTAGTTTATACATGAAAACCCAATCTCATTAAAATAAGATCTTAGCTCTCGCTACCGCTAAACAAAGATCTGAGGACATCCCATTGGGGGTCACGTCAAAACGACCTGTTCATCCGACCAATCAAGGCGTCGCTTACCAGATCATGAAAGTGACAGTCGGAATGTGATTTCTAATAATGCAACCTCGAAAACTTTAACACGGGGTATTCCGAACGATAGTTACGGGTTTAACGACTGAATCCATACAATCTAGACCATAAATGTGCCATTCCAGAATGTTCTTTTGTTCAGGTTGCAAATTTGTAATCGAGAATTTGTCAAAATATGTTTCGAAGCGTAGTCGCCAATTTGAATTTAGTGCCGTAAAGCACGAGAAAGCTGCCTTCTGATTGGCTAATGTCTACTTCTTGTCAGTCCTTCCATTGGTCGGTCAAAATTAACGCAAGGTCGGTCTGACGTGACCCGTAATGGGATGTCCTCAGATCTTTGTTTAGCAATAGCGAGAACTAAGATCTGATTTTAATGAGATTGATGAAAACCCTACATCTCAATGGTTGAAACGTTGTAACCGTTTCACCAAGTCGATGCGTTTCGTATAAAAAGGTTACTGTCACTTTCGAGTATATTGTCATCATCATACGAGGGTTGGTTGATAAGTTTGGAAGGAGTTGCGTACCAGTGAAATATTTTGTGGATATTACATAAGGTCACAGAGGTATATCGGTTACAGGCCGGCAAAGCCACATTTCGGAAATAGATAGCCCAAATTGATGTGGCTCTCGCGGCAATGGTTATGGTTGCGTGAGTGTATAATGTGGCTCTCGTGGCTATGCTGTCAAAACACGCTTTGTGATTCTAACAGGTTACCGTATATAACAAAACAAATCTTGTTTTCTCATTTTTTATTCAACAAGGATAACATATTCATCAAAACTTTACATTGATGAATATGAATAGCATATGAATATCATAATGGATTTAATGTCATTACTGCAGATGAAGGAGGTCGCCCACGTGGTCAGCATATTCCATCTTACTCAGGTGTTGGTTCAGGAGCTGGATCTTGAGGGACGCAATACGTGCATCGATTGCCTTGTACTTCTTTCTTCGTGAAGGTTCTGACCACTGGTGAGAGAGTCTCAGGACTGCAACCTCTTTGAGTGACTGCTCTCGCTGAAATAGCTTCACTACCTCGTAGATGTTCGGGTGGCACTTCTTGGCAAGTTTCTTTATCTTGTTGTGCCACCCTTCCAGGTGATTGTTGGTACGGTGGCCTTGGTTTTCGAAATGGTTCCAAATCTCTGGCATGAAGGCCCATCCTTGAACCCAACTGGTTGTCACGTAGTCCATGAAGGCAGTCACTTTAGGGCCAGCAATGGCATCAAGTCACACATCATCCACTTTGTCACGAGGTACTAGAGGGAGGGCAGCAGCTCTTCTCACCAGCTTCTTCACCTCCTCATCTTCCTTATAGTCCATCACCAGACCTTCTTTCTGCACCCTCCTCCAGATACATGATACAATGTTCTTGTCTGAAGTGAAGATGAGGATGTCGTCACTAACACGGTGTAGGAACTGGTCGCCTCCCTCAGTCTGGGAGTACTTCTCCTCCAGCTGGATCTGGGGTCTGCTGTCAGGAGGGGCAATTTAAATGTGGGACACTCATTTAAAGGTATCTCTAAAGAACACCACGCTTAGTAATTTAAATGTGGGACACTCATATAAAGGTATCGGTAATCGGATTAATTAATTACCCGCTAGAATAGGTGAAATGCACTCAGCTGAAAATGTGGCTCTACCGGCAATAGCCATTTCTGAAATGTGGCCCTCCCGGCTAGACACCGGTATATCCATAACAAACATGAGTCAATTGAGCAAATTGTTCAGCCGTGACAAGTCAATAAAATAAACTGGGTATGCTGTGGCCGTTGGAAAATGGACAAACTTGAGGAACGTGTCAACTTTCTAAAACTTCAATTAAACCCTCTTATTAGTCGATTTCTATACTCATTGTAGTAACTGCAATTCGAAAATGCATATCGACTATGACTCAGAAAGTAGTTTTCTATAAACATTAGCTTCCACGGTGATGCGCCGGCAAATCGGCTGTTTTAATCAAAGGTGGGTTATTGTAATTTGATCAATCAGAATCGAGTAATTTCATTGTAGAATTTCCAACGACAGAGTATGACGTCATCATCTAGACGTCACTTATCTTACGTCATCAATGACGACGTTTGTATCAAGTCGCATCGGCATTATTTCAGCCATATAGCGACTTATTTCTTATATGAGATATCAACATTATGTACAGCCTCTTTAAGGATGTTGATAAAATGTACAAGCTTTAATAATATTTACCCAGATTTTAACAATGCCGTCTCCCTGAATAGAATCCGACCTCGGCAATGTCGGGCAAGTCCATTTTACGAACAGGCGGGTTAAAGTTTGGTATTTTCCGCATATTCTCACAATCCTCACGTCGATCATCTATACCTTTTTTCTTAATACTGATTGTCATATCTCTCCCACTTTTGGATGCGATCGTTCGGCCACTGCGTTTATCTGCATAGCCCAGCTACATCTAAGGGGACTCACAAGACACCTACCTCTGAAAAATAACGTTGTCCAATATATGACGTCATCAAGTTGCGAGCGTCAGAAATGACGCCATGATAAAACAATGTTTTATCGGGAAATAAACCACGCCTCGTTCTTCATTGTTCTTTGCGATTTATCGCGTAGCTATCTTATATTATGATGTCTGTATTACGTCAACAAGGAAGTCTGTATTAAGTCAGCAACGCATTGTGTCTGTGTTAAGTCAACAATGCTACTGTGTGCGGTTATTTAATACTTCTTAACTAGCTTATTTTAAACCAAATGGATAATATTTTACACAACATTTGAAGCCGTGAATGGGAATATCGCAGTGTTCCGATTCTGTTCCACAGCCTGTAGAAAACAGTTCCCCATTGACTCATCGGGTCCAGGAATGACTCATATATAGAGGATGTTTATTGTGAAGCTAGTCAGTGCCACAGACATGCAATGAGTACAGCTGCATTTACTTCGAGCAAACCTCACGTACAGACGAGAATCGTTTGTCCGCCAACCGATACACATGTAGATATGCCACAGTGCAAACTTCAGCGCGCGCGCGCGCGCGTGTGTGTGTGTGTGTGTGTGTGTGTGTGTGTGCGTGCGAGTGTGTGTGTGTGCGCGCGCGCGCGCGTGTGTGTAATTTGTTTGTTTGTTGTTTAACAGCGAACCCAGCAATATTCCAGCTATATGACGGCGGTCTGCAACTAATCGAGTCAACCCAGACAATCCAGTGATTGACACCGTGGACAAAATATGATACAATACCAGGTCCAACCTCAAACCCCACCCCATATAAAAAAATGACAAGTCCCTCAGAACCCTGTACCGCCATCTCCGAGATTCACGCAGGCTGATGCAGTCAAGGGTTCTTGGTACGTATGAACTCAACACAGTTCAAAGGGCATGTAAGAGCGTCACTTAGTGTATATTAGGGCAATCCTATGTCTTACAACAAGTAAAAACGTGGCTGTGTAAATGTGTACTTTCCTCTCCCCACACTGCGAGTTGGAACAAGCCGTTGTTTGTGATGCATGCCGGGAATTGTTTGTGACACACATTTACCAATATTTCATCGTCAGGTGTTGGCACGAGTTCGATGTATGGATGCATGTAATACGCTTTATGTACAAACTTGGAGTAAATTAGATTTTCTAACCCGGTCACAAGAACACATGAATTGTCTTGTGTCACAGTGCAGGGACCAGAGTGAGTGAGATTAACGCTGCGTTGAACAGTATTCCAGTTATATCACGGCGTGTCAGCTTGATATGAGAGGAAAGCCCGAAGTGGTGCAGGCCTTAGACGTTTACCACTCAGGTGAAACCCATGAACACAGGTATGGTGCTGACAAACCAAGACACATAATCGGGGTGAACCGGGATTCGAACCAACGATCCCATAGGTTCCTGGCGGGCCGAAGGGACGCAACTCTGCGTACGAATTGCGGCGCCTGAGCGCCGTGCCCCCTCAGACATCATGCAGACAGGAGAAAATATGTTTCTAAAATGATCAGCGCGTGTAGCCTTGCTCCATGGCTGTACTGAATGATTAATCCATAATAGTTAATAATTCTATCTTCATAATCGGCAAGTCTAAATAAGCTGACGCCAGTCTTTTATAGGGACAACTTGTTCTTCTTATTTATATAATCTAGGAAATATGAGTTAAACTAACAATAGCTTTCTTAGAGCCTTGTGCAAGTCTACGCTACGTGATCACGTTCACACACACACACACAGGCTGTTGAGCTCATATGCCTGATCGTGCAATCAACACTATATTTATTATTCATCACAGGCACTTATGTTGAGCCGACCGACCTTGTTGACAATATAATGCACAAAGTACATGCACACTACAATATTGTTTACAATAAGCCTTATGCATATCCGGGTACTCGCGTGTGACGGCCATCGCCTCCCGTTGGTCGATTTAAAGACGTAAAAGTGCCCGAACTGCATCAGAGATAATCGTGACAGACGTGGGTGCGCGTGGCGGAAGCACTGACCTGCATTTGTTGGTAGTTCCGGGTGTACTAATCGTCAAGGCAAGAGGACACGCCCTTAACCTGCAGATAGTTATATCAACAATTAATTCTTAGTGACAATGAGCTTTTCGTAGTTACATTCTATCGCCGCTCCCCTCTCACCATATCACATGCTCTCTCGTCCGTCCAGGGGCGGTGGGGTAGTCTAGTGGTTAAAGCGTTCGTTCTTCGCGCCGAAGGCCCGGGATCGATTCCCCCAAAGTGTACAATGTGTGAAGCCCATTTCTGGTGTCCCCCGCCGTTATATTGCTGGAATATTGAAAAAAACGGCGTAAAACCATACTCACTCACTCTTTCGCCCAATACATTTAGTGTTTCTCCGCTGCCGGTAGAATCGATACATCCTCTCCTCTTGTCTCATCCCCAGGACACTGGTATATATCCTGACATATACCCCGAGGGGATATTTATTGAAATGATATATACACTCCACAGAACATGTAAACAATTATAATTATTTACTGATCCCATTATGAACTACTTCTGAAATATATGTAATATATATATGTATGTGTGTGTGCACATTTATACTATAGATGTTGTCTTTTCACTGTATACCTTGTACTCTTCATGGAATGGAGGAAATAAAGAAGATCTATCTATCTATCTATCTATCCTGACATATACCCCGAGGGGATATTTATTGAAATGATATATACACTCCACAGAACATGTAAACAATTATAATTATTTACTGATCCCATTTCTCTGTTGTTTTTATTCCTGTTATAAAAAAAAAAGAAATTATTTGTAAAACTATATATTTTGTAACCCTGTATCTGGGCCAGTGGCCTTTACTCATTATTGTTACGTACAGAGAGTCGGTAGAATGTGTACACTGATCTGTACATATAGTTGGCTGAATAGTCCTGGACCATGACCGAGGAATATATTTATTTTATGAAAAAAATAATAATCTAGAAACGCATACAAAAGCAATTCTAGCCAGCTCTTGCTAGCTCTATTCTACTTATGAAATCAGCATAGGTTTTTTTTAAATTTTAGTCAAGAGTGAGTGAGTGAGTGTGGTTTTACGCCGCTTTAAGCAATATTCCAGCAATAACACGGCGGGGGACACCAGCAATAGGCTTCACACATTGTACCCATGTCGGGAATCGAACCTTTGTCTTCGGCGTGACGAACGAACGCTTTAACCACTAGGCTACCCGACCGCCCCTTTAGAGTCAAGAAGGATATTGTGTAATATAAGATTTCAGAGACTAAATGTTGGTATATTTGACGCTGGTGTTTGAAGTCTTTTGTAAACTGGATCGAAAACCCCGTGACCTATATTAGTTGATCAACAGCGCGATAATGCCCATCCCTAATGTATTTACTTGGAATTCTGCAAACTAACTACGCAGTAGCGTCTGGATCACTGCTTGCTGTCACACATGTGCACTGGGGCACTAGATCATGATTTGGAGTGTACAGCTTACAGACAATTCCTATTAATTCCGGATGTAGTACTGTGGTGATCGTGGTTGGATACTGATATATTACTTGATAGGAAACATTATCCTAGGTTCTATTATTATTATTATTATTATTATCATTATTATTATTATTATTATTATTATTATTAACATTAACATACAGTGCCATTTAGAAAGTGGTCAAATGTAAGAAATGTTACATTTGGGATAACATTTTCTTAGCAAAGTACAGATTCTAGTACTTTTTGGGGGGTTGGGAACCATCCGGGATTCGAACCCACACTGCCAGAGAAAGGCACCTAATCGCCAGCACACAAAGTCAGCGAACTAATCCACTCAGCCATCGAGGCTTCGGAACCGTACTTTTTGTGGACCCGTGAAGATAAGGGGTAGAATTATACTGACGTTGGATCGCTGCTGACTTTGTGTGCTGGCGATTAGGTGCCTCACTCTGGCAGTGTGGGTTCGAATCCCGGATGGGACTCAACCCAAAAAGGTTCTTGAATCTGTACTAAGAAAGTGTTATCCCAAATATAACAT